GTGTGTGTGTGTGTGTGTGTGTGTGTGTTTTAAAGTTTAGGGCCATAGTTTTTGGGTATGGCCTGGGCCATAGTTTTTCGGTATCGCCTTTCTTCCTCCTCTGCCCCTTATTTTTAACCCTCTCTTCCTCTTCCCTACTGCCGTAAGCTTCCCACTGTCCATCTCGGAGTTTAGACTGGTGGACATGCTCTAAATCTCCCTCGGGTCCCCAGATTGGACAAAGCCTACATCCCCACCAAGTAATGCACACACACACCCACTTTTTTGCATGTAAATTAGGGGGATTCATGGACTCCCTGAAAACCCAGTCCCGGTCCCAGCTAGCAGATGTCCTGGGGTAGTGAATTTGTGTCCCAGCCTTCCAGAAGCCCCTTGAGAGCAGGTACCAGGCCTTGCGCTTCTTTGTGATGCCCTCACCTTAGGGAGCCCAGCGGGCTGATGGGGCTGCGAGACCCGTGTGCACTGGGCTGGAGCTCTTGGGAATGTCCTTGGCTTAGAGCCAAGTCCAGCCTTCTGTCCAGGTGCTCCACCTTCTCCTGCCTCCCCCACTGCCTTCCTGCAGTGCTGCTTTAAAATGGTGTTTAAAAAAAAAAAAAAGGCTTGGAGAGCTTATTTCTCTCTGCTGGAAGATGCCTCCCACTCATGCTTTTCTCTGTCCTCCAAATAACTTGTCAAAAAAAAAAAAAAAAGCCTTTGCCAATTTTAAAATCTTGCAAGAGATAATACAACAAAGGTAGCCCCCTTCCTCCCCTCAACTGCCACCCTGGCTGGGTGGTTTTGGGAAACCTGTGGTTTGAGCAGGGCTAGTGGGAAGTAGTGACTTCTCAGGGGAAGAGAGAGAGGAGAGGCCGAGAGCGCAATGTGGGGAGAGGGGGATTCCAGACAGGAAGGGCCCTGGTGACCCACGGGCTGGAGGCCAGAGCTGGGCAGGGTGAGAGGGATGTCGTCCCTCTCTGCCTCCAGGATGGCTTCCGGTGGCAGCCCGGCCACCTGGGGCCCTGCTTTGCCCAGTGCCAGCAGCTCTGTCCTTCAAGAGAGCAGGGTGTCGGCAGTTGTGGCTCAGAACACGCCTGGGAGTCAGGGCCACAGGCTGACCCAGCGCTGTCTGTGTTCTGTCCCTGAGGTGGCCGGGAGGTGGTACGCCGTGGTGGCCCAGGGAGGAGGTAGGGTAGCTGCCTTAGGGCTCCCCCCCTCCCCCTGACATGGGCCGAGCACGTCTTGTCTGCGGCCAAGCTTCCTGGTTCAGGCGGGCACAGAGGTCCCTTCACCTTCCCTCCTGGCCCCTCGGGAGGGAGCGTTGCCCTGGCAACTCATGAGTGTTATCGATCTCCTTGGTGGGTCTGCCAGAATGACTCCGGTATCTCATTCTCCTCCCTCTTCTCTCCCCAGAGGCCATTAACTGCCTGATGAGAGCAATCGAGATCTACACAGACATGGTAAGGGGCATCTGCTGGCCTGCCCTGCCCTCCACCCCCCCCCCAGCAGCGCTCCTTCTGCTGCTAGAGCCGATGGGAAGGGGGCAGGGGAGCCCAGGGCTTTGGTGGCCTGAGCTGGGCCTGGGCCGTGCTTCTCCTGCACCCCCACCAGGCCTCCTGGAGCACCCTGTTGGAGAGGGTTCGCCTGCCCCCGCCCCGGCCCCCAGCCTCTTCAGGGCCATTAGTGCTCACTGGTGCTGTGTGTGTGTCCAGCACTGTTCCCCACGACCAGCCCCTTTCCCGCCAGGTGTCGTGTTTGATTGACTCCCTCCTCAGGACACAGGCAGGCAGCCAGAGCAGGGGCCTCTCCTTTAGCCAGAGGAGGCCTGAGGCAGCTGGCGGCCCCTCCGGGCTTCTGTCAGCCCCTGGCTTTTCCTCTTGTCTCTCCCCCACGCCCGCACACCCCTCTTGTCAGGCCCCCTCTGCAGGAGCACTGGCCCTGCCCCAAGCCCTTGGTGATCCATGTCTGGGACGAAGACATAGCAGTAACTAGAATCCTAGTAGTCGCAGCCACTGCCCTTCACTGACCCGGCCACTGTGCCGAGTGACTCACCTTCCTGCCCGGCACCTCAGAGGTGGGCAGTGTATTAGCCTATGTCACAGTCGAGGAAGGGGGCTCAGGGAATCGAGACCCGGAGCCCAGCCCGGCAGAGCCCGCAGCCCTTGGGCTTTACCGCAGCCATCAGCAGGGGTGCCCTTAGTGGACTAGCCCCCATGTGCGGAGCAGTGGGCAGCACCTGGGACACAGGCTGAAGGCAGGTCAGGAGCATCCTAGCCCTTTGAGCTGCTAACCTCCCTGGAGAAGCAGAGTATCCCTGGAGGTGGCTGAAGGGCCTGGAAGAAGGGCTGGCCCTGTGGCCACATGGGGGATGAGGGGGTCAGAGGTTGCATGTAGGACTCAAGCCCTCAGTCCTGTTTTTCCCAAGCTTACTGCCAGGTGGCTGGGCTGTCCTCCCACCTCTCAGGACGTCTGTGGAGTACTTTCTGAGAGCAGGGCCTGTGCTGAATGTGTCTGTGCACAGAACGGAGACTGAGCCAGGGCTTCAGGGGGACTTGCCCACAGACCCCAGCTCGGGCAGCCCTCTCACACCAGGTCTCTAATTCTCAGCCCCCCTAAGCCCTGTGCTCCTCTGCCTCACAGTGCTCTCTGCATGCCTCACCTCCCAGGGGGGCTGAGGGGCAGAACCCACCAGCTTCCCGGGACCTGAGGGTCATGGTTGAGCTGGGGTGGAGGCGGACCTGTAGAACATCACTGGTCTCAGCAGGCCCTCCTGTGTCCCTGCAGGGCCGGTTCACAATTGCCGCCAAGCACCACATCTCCATCGCCGAGATCTACGAGACAGAGCTGGTGGACATCGAGAAGGTTGGTGGAGTGGGGGCAGGGACCAGGGTTTCCCTCTCTGGTGTCTTAGTACCTAGCACGGGGCATGGGGCATAGGCAGAGCCTCGTGGGGGTGCATTTGGACAAAGGGTCTGGCTGTGTCCCTGGCTGAGGTCCGGGATGGTGCAGGGCTGCTCTAGAGGCCCCCCGTCTCTCAGCCCTCTCCCTCATGTTTCCCCAGGCCATAGCCCACTACGAGCAGTCTGCAGACTACTACAAAGGCGAGGAGTCCAACAGGTAACTTGGGCAGCGGCTCCCACATCCTGTCTGCCCCGAGCCCCTCGGGGAGCCCATGGGGCCAGCCACCACTCACCTCCCTCCATCCTCCCCCTAGCTCAGCCAACAAGTGTCTGCTGAAGGTGGCCGGCTACGCCGCACAGCTGGAGCAGTACCAGAAGGCCGTGGACATCTACGAGCAGGTCAGGTCCTCCTTGTCAGTCCCCTCACCCTCACCTTGCACTCAGCCTGGCTAAACACCTTTTCCTTGACCTACCACCCCAGGAGGTGCTGCCACTCACCTGCGCGTGCACACGTGCACACACACATACACACACGTACACCCCTTCCCCCCACGCACACACCACATGCACACAGCGTCCTCCTTGCACCTGTCACAGATGCTTCCTGGACAGCCTCAAGCAAGGCAGACTTTGAGAACCAGAGTTGCGGACACAGGAAGGACTGCCAAGGCCTGGGGTGGTGATGGGTAGGGGCTGGGAGCAGGGTCCTCTGTCTGTGGGGAGGAGGGAGTGTCGCATGGATGCCCAGGCTCCCCTCGCTGTGTTGGGGGCGCTGGGCAGGACCGAGCTGTCCTGGCAGCTGGCCTTGGAGGAGAGGGAGGCGGGCACCGCCTTGCCTGTTCTGCTACTGCCGCCCCCTGCCCACCGATGTGCCAGCTTCCTGAGGCCTGGCAGCAGCCGCCTCTGCCCACACTCGGGTGCCACAGGCAGCCCACGGACACCTGGCAACAGCCTGTGCAGCACAGCCCATCTTGCCCTGTCCTCAGTCACACACTCACCAGTTGCTGACTTCCCAGAGCGAGTCCCCAGGGCCCTGGCTAACAAGCCTCACCCTAGGCATGGGCCCGCCCCCAGCTGGCTCCCAAGTGTCTGGCAGATTACCTTGCCCCTTGGATGCCCACCCTGAGCTCACAGCATCACTTACACACGGCCACAGGTGGGGACCAATGCCATGGACAGCCCTCTCCTCAAGTACAGCGCCAAGGACTACTTCTTCAAGGCGGCCCTCTGTCACTTCTGCATCGACATGCTCAATGCCAAGGTGAGCCCAGCCTCCACCTGACACCGCCCCTGACCCCCCGGTGCGCTGTGTCCGAGGCTTCATGCCGTGTCACCTCCCATGTCGTTCTCAACGTGAAGCGTTTCTGCCCTCCTGTCACCTACCTGGCCCCGTTGGCATTTGAGTTTTCAACTTCTGGCTGGCTTGTGCCAGGCTCCGTGCCAGCCGTTTCTCTCTGGGGGTTCACGTCCTGAATCCTTACAGCACCCCCCCGTGAAGCAGGCACCTTTCACCCCGACTTACAGGTGGAGACACTGGGGCCGAGATGAGAGTCCCTGTTGAGGGCCCCATGGCTAGTGAGCTGCAGCCTCGGGATTCCAGACCTTTCCAACCCCAAGTTCATGACTAACCGTAGCCTGCATGCCCACCCCATCTGTTTTCAGGGCTTCTTGTTCACAGAGGGGGTCATGCTGATGAGGGGACTGGCCAGTGGGAAGGAGTTAGAGAATGGATATTAGATTGTTTTTAATGGATTTTATTTTTTAGAGCAGTTTTAGGTTTACAGAAAAACTGTGCAGGAAGTACAGAGAGTTCCTATATGTTCCCTCTCCCCCGTTAGTAACATCTTGCATTGCTGTGATATATTTGTTACAATTGATGAGCCAACGCTGATACATTATTATTAACTAGGAGTCCCTGGTGGTGCAAACTGTTAATGCACTCAGCTGCTAACCAGAAGGTTGGGTTGTGTCCACCCAGCAGTGCCTTGGAAGAAAGGGCTGGTGATCTCCTCCCCAAAAATCAGCCACTGAAAGCCCTGTGGAGCACAGTTCTACTCTGACACACATAGGGTCACCTTGAGTTGGAATTGACTCACTGGCAACTGTTTTGTTTTTGTTTTTTTTTTTAATAATTATTAACTGAAGTCCATAGTTTACATTGGGGTTCACTCTTTGTGTTCTGCAGTCCTTTAAGTTTTAAAAAGTGCATAATGTCGTGTGTCCATATCACAGTATCACACTTAGAATAGTCTCACTGCCCTAAAAATGCTCCATGCTCCCATCTCTTTTTTCCTCCCACACTCCCCTGGCTTCCTGGCACCCACTGGGGTTTGTCTCTGGGCATCTGAGTTGAGAGGCCAGCCTTCCCAAACCACACTGTACGTGGTGAGGCCCTGCCCAGGCTCTGGGGTTTCCTGGCTGTTCTGGCTGTCCTGCCCCCACCTCACACTCCCAAAGCTGAAATTAAACCTCACCTGCTCCCTTCGTGGACACCTGGCAGAGAGGTTCACAGCGTCAGCTTGGGTGTCAGGCTGGGTTCAGACCCTCCCCCACCCCTGATCCCACACCCCGAGCAGGTCACTGCCCTCTCTGGGTCCACTTCCCCACTGTTGTTTTTGTTGTTCTTGTTGGGAATACACACAGCAAAACATACACCAATTCAGCAGCTTCTATATGTACAATTCAGTGATATTGATTACATTTTTTGAGTTGTGCAGCCATTCTCACCCTCCTTTTCTGAGTTGTTCCTTCCCCATTAACAAATTCACTGCCCCCTAAGGTTCCTGTCTAATCTTTTGAGGTGCTGTTGTCAGTTGGATCTCATATAGATAGTTCTTAGAAGAGCATAAAGCTCAAGGGAGACATTCTTTACTAATTACGTTGAATTACTGTTTGGTTTTAAGAAGACTTCGGGATATTTTTTGTTTTAAGGCTTTTAAAACGGGTCACCCCCACTTGATCCTCCCAGGGTCCCGTGTGAAGGCTTTATGTGCAGGGTATGCTCAGAAGAGGCACCCGTTGCCATCTGTCCCCTGCCCCAGCTGCACCTGGTTGGACGAGAAGGGCCAGGTGTGGGAAGTGGCACTGGTCGCCAGCCTGGGAAACCCTCCCTGGCCTCCCCAGCAGCCGTCTCTGCAGCCAGGCGTGTGCTGAGCTCAGCTCTCAGCTCCTTAGAGGTGCCTGCCAGGCACAGAGCCAGCAGGTGACACCGGAGGGAGGCGGGGGAGAGGCGCAGAGCTGACTCAGGGCCAGCAGCGTCCCCACATCCCCTCGGCTGCCAGGCCAGCAGCTCCAACGCTCTTGTTCTTTATTAACTGATCCCCTCCTTCCTCCCCCTGCTGCTCAGCTGGCTGTCCAGAAGTATGAGGAGCTGTTCCCCGCCTTCTCCGACTCCCGCGAGTGCAAGCTGATGAAAGTGAGTGGTGCTGGCGCACTCACGGGCCCCCTCCCTGACCCCTTTGTGCATCTGGCCCTGGAGCTTGGGATGTCCTTGGGTGGTGCAGATGGTTTGCGCTCAGCTACTCATCTAAAAAGGTTGGTGATTTGAACGCACCCAGTGGTACCACAGAAGAAAGGCCTGGCGATCTGCTCCCATAAAGATTACAGCCAAGAAAGCTATATGGGGCAGTTCTGCCGTGTAACACATGGGGTTGTCATGAGCCAGAATCGATTCAGTGGCAACAGGTTTCGTTTTCTGGGGGGCTGTGGATGGACAATCTGGAGGCGTGGACTTCAGTTAGTATAATCACCAAGATTTGCACAAAAGTTTTGTTTTGTTTCCCTCTTAGTCCATTTGGGTCTCTATTTTCAAGATAAGAAGAGCACGAATCAGGCAGTGATGGGCTGAGGGCAGAGTGGGAGGCCAAGTGATGACCCCGAGCATGCACAGACCTCCCCGTGATGTTCTGTGTCGCTGAGAGCGGGCGATTTCGGGTTGAGTAGGGCAGGATTCAGGAGCCCTGGTGGCGCAAATGGTTAAAGCATTGGCTGCTAACGGAAAGGTTGGTGGTTCGAACTAACCCAGCAGCTCCACGGGAAGAAAGACCTGGCGATCTGCTCCCATAAAGATTACACCCTAGGAAACCCTGTGGGGCAGTTCTGCTCTGTCACATGGGGTCACCATGAGTTGGAATCGACTCGACGACACCCACCAACAGGCGGGATTGGAGCACGGCCACACTCTTCCTCCTGGCATGGGAGCCCCCTGATGTTGGGCCCCCCAGACCAGCATGCTGGACTTAATACAGGCTGGCTCTGACCCTTGCCTGCCATTTCCTTGCAGAAGTTGTTAGAAGCCCATGAGGAGCAGAATGTGGACAGCTACACCGAGGCGGTGAGTGACGGCAGGGTGATCGTGCCCTTGAGAGACATGTCACTGGGCAAGCTGCCTTTCTCAGACACACATGCCGGGAACTTCACCCCCCCTTTTTTTTAACCTCTAGCCCCCAGACCCTGACTGTGAGTTCCTTTCTCCAGTCACCCCAGAAGCCTCTCAGGTTTCCCCAAGAGGTGCAGGGAGTGTTCTCCCTGTTTTATAGATGATGACACTGAGGCTGAGAGAGGTGAGGTGACTCATCTTTGGGCCATTGGCAGCAGAGCTGGGATCAGACCCCTACCTGTCTGCTCCAAAGGCCCAGGTCTCTGCACCCCTCGTAATCACCCAGGACCCGCTGACACCAGGCACTCTGGGTGGTCCAGGAGGAGCAGAGGAGGCAGGGAGAGGATTTCCGTCATCTTCCAGGGCTGGTGGGAAGTAGAGCTGGGGGCGGCCAGGCAGCATTGGGAGGCCTGACTTCCCTGCAGAACTCCCCACGCAGATGTTTCTCCTGTCCACCCTCTGTTCTGAACATTCTGGAACTTGATTATGTCCAGCTCAGGCCTCCTCTTGTACCGTAGACGGAGTCTGCCAACTGTAAGCCCTAAATGAGGACAGAGACAAGCCCCTCTGGTTGGTCCTGCCCCAGAGGGTGGACATCAGGCAGTGGGCAGCTTAGCCGAGGGGCTGGGGGAAGAGAGAAGGGATGTGGGTTCTCTCCTGCCCTCATCACCGTGGCCCTCTGGATGGGCCTGTTTCACATCCTCAGGCCTCAGTGTCCCACCCATAAAACAAGAAAGCTGGACCTTTCTGTTTAAGCTACAGATTCTCTTTCCTCTAGAAGAACTCTCAAGCCAGACAAAGGGCACTGGTCAGCTGCAGCCAGGGCCTGCCCTTCTCCTTCCCAGAGACCAGAGACCGGGGTTGACAGGGACTGGAGACCAGGCTCCAGGGCTGGGATGGTGGGGGATGGTGGTGCCTGTGGTCACCTTGGTGCGTCCCCAGGTGAAGGAGTATGATGCCATCTCTCGGCTAGACCAGTGGCTCACCACCATGCTGCTGCGCATCAAGAAGACGATCCAGGGTGACGAGGAGGACCTGCGCTAGGCCACACCCAGCCCTGGCGTCTGTCTTCCTCTCCTCTGCTCCCCTGGCCGCACACCCTCCAGTGAGGATCAGGGCGCAAGCAGGGAGAGGTGGGGCCTGAGGCCTTGGCTCGAGACCTCTCCTCCCCACCCCACCAAGGGGTCTCGCAGACCAAAGCTGTGGCCGTGTGGGCTCAGCTCAGAAGCCGGGCCTGCTGGCTGGACGGTCACCCTCTATCCTTGCTTCACCCTCGCCCCTGCCCATTTATTTAAGCCTCCGTGGTGCCCTTTTCCACCCCTCCAAAAACCAGCTCTACAGAATCTTTGATAAAGACCTATTTGCTGTGGGCGCTACTGGGGCCTGGGGTCAGCCTCTGGCCGCTCGTCTTCAGACCAGCTGAATGGTGAGGCTGGTTTCTATCTCCCTGTGTCCCCCAGCTGAGCTCTGAGCTGTAGCCGCTGCCACCTGCTCCCCTGGCAGAGGTGGACTCCTGCTGCCCAGCATGGGAGTCCCTCAGCCTCCTGCAGCCCCAGCCTCTCAGGGTAGACCCTGGCCCTGGAGCTCAGAGGGTTGTCCCCATACCCACCCCCTGGCTGCTCCTTCCCTAATGCTTTGAAGTTCTGTCAGTCGGAAGCTGCAGCTGGCCCAAGAAAGAAAATAAAAAACAACACTTTTGCATGAGTCTCTTTTCTCTTCACCCCTGCTGCCCCCTTGCCCTGTGGAGACTGTCACTCATCTTCCTGTTCCTCGGGTCTGCCCTTGGGGCGCCAGATGCACTTAGTGGGGAAGGGGAGGGCATTCCTCCTCCTCCTCAGGTCAAGCTTGACTGGAGAGACGGGCTGGGTCCCAGGCTCTGTGTGAGGAGAGGCCCAGGAGAGCGGGGTGGGGAGGAGCCACCAGTCTTCACTCTCCAGGTCCCTGGGCTCTGGGCCTGGGTTCCCTCAGCTGGGATGAGGGGTGGAGGTACTGCCCTCAGAACTGGCTGGAGGAGGGGGTGCAGTGTGACTGGTGAAGAAGGGACGGCAGTCCCACCAATGTCCCTTCCTCACCTCATGTCTACGTTCCCCTGGAATCATGACAGAAAATCCCAGGGGCATTTGTCCCATCTGTTACGGGACAGGGAGGGGGAGGCTGGTGGGCAGAGGAGGAGCCGGTGGGTAGGGGTGTGAGGAGGAGATAACAGGAGCACTTTGCCTGAGAAAGGTATGCAAGGACCACCACCGCCTTCTCCATCCTCCTTGATAGTGGTCTGCCCGCATGTCAGGTGACAGATCTGACATGCCTGTGCTCCACCCAGCCAGGGGCCGGGCCCTCCTCACTGTAGGGGAGACACCAGAGGAGGTTCAGTCTTACAGAGGCAAACAGATGTCTTGGTGTGCTGGAATGATGTCAGGAAGTGAACAGAAGGCAGCGATGCAGGGGAGGGGCTGCCCAGGAGGCCATGCGGGCTCCTCCCACAGTTCCATTCGACTGGTAATGGCTGCCTAGAGCTCAGTTAAGACTCCTGAGACCTGAGATTGATTATCAGTGTCTGCCATGGGCACTGACTGAAGTGGTGTGAGAGTATCTGCCACCTGTGATGAACACCCGCTATTCACAACTGTGGCTGCACCTTAAAATAAAAGTACTCAAGCTTGGGCCACTCCCTAGGAAATTGTTTTGATTGAGGTTCTCCACTCTTGACATTTTTTTTAAAAACTCCACAGATGGCTTAAATGTGCAGCTAAGGTTGGAAGCCACTGAAGATGATGATTCTTTCCTTCCCAAGCTATAACATCCTTTATTCGTTTGTTCACTCGACAAATGTTAAGTGAAGGTGGTTTAGAGGTTATCATGTGGGGTAGAAGAATCCAGAAGAAAACAGTTCAGGAGTGGCAGAACTCGACCTCACATTCCACTCACTCAGCAAGTGTTATACTAAGTACCTACTGTGTGCCCATGGAGGCAGTTGGTGGTTCCGTGGTAGAATTCTCACCTTCCATGTGAGACCCAGGTTCAATTCCCGGCCAGTGCACCTCATACACAGCCACCACCTGTCTGTCAGTGGGGGCTTTCGTGTTGCTGTGATGCTGAACAGGTTCAACAGAGCTTCCAGACTAAGACTAGGAAGAAAGGCCTGGTGATCTTCCAAAAATCAGCCAATGAAAACCTTATGGAGCATTAACGGTCCAATCCACAATGGATCATGGGGGTGGCATAGGACTGAGCAGCGTTTTGTTCCATTGTGCAGGAGGCTGCTAGGAGTCGGGAGCGAACTCGACAGCAGCTGACAACACCAACTGCATGCAGAGCCCTGCTCTAGGCCCTGGAAACATGGTGGTGAACAACATAACCTAGCTTCCACCTTCTAGGAGCTTTTGCTACCAAATTCAGAAATCTGGAATTGTCACAGACTCCTCTTTTCACCAGCCTCCAAATCCAATCTGCCTTTGAGAACCTCCCATTTGCTGCCTCATGTATCAGTGTCCCAGGTGCTTGGCACAGGGCCTCACACAGAGTTCGTGGATTTTTAACGCATTTACTGAATGTCCACCTTGTGCCAGGCCTTGTGGTCCAGGTGCCAGAGATTTGGCCATGACTGAGGGAGACCCAGTTGTTGCCTTCATAGAGCTTGCTCTGTGTGTGTGTGTGTGTGTGTGTGTGTGTGTGTGTGTGTGTGTGTGTGTGTGTCTTTCTGCATGGAGGGGGGTGGGGGTAACAGAAGATTACTGGAGCTGCCAGGGCAGTTGACCAACTCATGTCTTCTGGAAATGATACGCAAGCTGTGCACAGATTTCCCCAGCCCCTCTTGACCTTCTAGGACAAACAAGCATGCGTCTGAACCTCTGAAGGCTTTGGAGTCAGAAACATCTGCTTACTTCCTGTCTCCTGACTGTCGTATCAGTCAAGGGACTTAGCTTCCCTGAGACTCAGTTTCATCCTCTGTAAATTGGGATAATACACTTCTTTGTAGGGTTGTTTCAAAGATTAGACAAATTTGTAAAGAATGTCCTGGCACACGGTAAGAGCTCAATAGATACTGAATAAATTAATGCGGGGGGGGGGTGAGTGGGAGGTAACAACAGGACCCTGCAAAGTAGTCGTGAGTATCCAATGAAGTAATCACATGACAGGCACATAGTACAGGACAGAGCAGAACTGCCCGGTAGAGTTTCCAAGGAATGCCTGGTGAACTTGAACTGCCAACTTTTTTGGTTAGCAGCCGTAGCTCTTAACCACTACTACACCAGGGTTTCCTGATGCTCAGTAAAGGAGGTGGTTATTATTTGCCAGGAGTCCCTGGGTGGTGCAAACAGTTAACATGCTTGCTCGGCTGCTAACCAAAAGGTTGGAAGTTCGAGTCCACCCAGAGGCACCTAGGAAGAAAGACCCGTCAATCTAATTCCAAAAGAGCCATTGAAAATGCTATGGAGCACAGTTCTCTGACACATGGGGTTGCCCGGAGTCAGAATTGATTCTATGGCAACTGGTAATCATTTGCCAGGAGAAAAACCTGTTGCCCTTGAGTAGATTCCCACTCATGGCAACCCCATGTGTCACAGAGTAGCACGCTTACATAGGGTTTTCTTGGCTGTAATCTTTACGGAAGAAGATAGCCAGGCTGTTCTCACACAGTGCCACTGAGTGGATTTGAACTGTCAACCCTTAGATTAGTTGAGTGCAAACCGTTTGTGCTACCCAGGGACCTCCCAGGGTGGATAAAATAAGGAAAAACCAAGCCCGTTGCCGTCGAGTAGATTCTGACCCATAGCGACACTATAGGACAGAGCACAACTGCCCCATAGGGTTTCCAAGGAGCGGCTGGTGGATTCCAACTGCTGACCTTCTGATTAGCAGCGGAATGCTAAAACACTGCACCCCCAGGGCTCCACAGAGAGATCCAAAACCCGTTGTTGTTGAGTCAATTCCGACTCATAGCAACCCTATAGGACAGAGTAGAACTTCCCAATAGGATTTCCAAGGAGCAGCTGGTGGATTCAAACTGCTGACCTTTTACTTAGCAGCCACTGTGCCACCAGGGCTCTGCCATACATAGATAGTTGGATCTGTTTCCATGGAAGAAGGAATGCATATCACCATTTTGAAGAGGATATGGTTAAAATCATGAATTACAGAGCTATCTTGTTTGGGTTGCAATGCTGGCTCTGCTTCTTGCTAGCTTTGATCTTGGGCAAATGACTTAACCTCTCTCTGTGTCTCAGTTCCTTCATCTGTAATATAAGAAAAGCACCTACCTCAGTCTGCTTGTGAGTTGTATTTTTTTTATTGTGATTTAAATGAAAATTTACAGAGTAAATTACTTTCTCATTAAACAGTTAATACACAAATCGTTTTGTGACATTAGTTGCCAACCCCGTGATGTGTCAACACTTTCCCCTTCTTCGCCTCACCAGCTTCCTTGCTTCCATTTGTCCAGTTTTCCTGTCCCTTCCCGCCTTCCTGTCTCTGCTTTTGGGCTGGTGTGCCCATTAGTCTCGCATACCTGATAGAACTACGAAGCACGTTCCTCGCGTGTTATTGTTGGCCCTATAGACCTGTGCTTGTGAGTTTTGAATAAATTGATAGATGGAAAGTGCTTAGAACAGTTCTGGCACGTGAGCGCTATATTAAGTTTTATGATTCTTATTATTCTTCCCTCTACACAGCGTACAGAAGGCAGCCTGGCTCACCCACTTCTACCTTTTGGCCACAACCTCCTGCTCTTCGGTCCTTGAAAGGGAAAACGAGGAATGCGCAGGCGCAGTGGGGCAAAAATCTCCCAGGAGGCGGGGCAGCGGAGCTGGCCGTCATCTTGGTAAAGGGCAGGGACGGCCGCTTTGCTACGTCATCAGTCTGAGCTATAGGGGGGCACCCGGCGGTCCCTGTCGCTTCGGGAACGGCGGGTGGGGTAGGCCTGGCAGCAGCGGGGAATGCAGAAAGGGTGACTGGCTGAGGGTCGTGATGGGAGAAGCGGCTGTGGCCGCGGGGCCTTGCCCCCTGCGCGAGGACAGCTTCACGCGCTTCTCGTCGCAGAGCAATGTGTACGGGCTGGCAGGCGGCGCGAGCGGGCGCGGGGAGCTGCTGGCTGCCACCCTTAAAGGCAAGGTGCTTGGCTTCCGCTACCAAGACCTCCGACAGAAAATCCGGCCCGTGGCCAAGGAGCTACAGTTCAACTATATCCCCGGTGCGTGGCGCCATGGGGCTGGGGGGCCTGGAGCTGGTGTTGAGAAGGCTTCTGAGGCTCTGTCTGAGCTGGATCTCTTGGGAGAATGGGATCAGGGTGACTGAAGGGGGTCAAGGGTCATAAAAATCAGAAGGCGTTGGAATCAGGAGTCAGGGATAATAGGGGCCTGGAAGTAGTTTGGGTTTAGGATTGCGCAGACTCAGAGGTCAGGGATCCCTCCTACCCAGGGGTCGGGGTCATGGTGAATGTGATCAGGACTCACTCAGACCAGATCATATCAGATGAAAACTGCCGTGGTCAGAGGCTACTGAGTCCTAGAGGTCAAAGGTCATGGTGATTGTGAGTACTTGGGGGTCAAGAGTCTCCCTGAAATACAAACTTTGAACTGTCTTCTCCCAGTGGACGCAGAGATTGTCTCCATCGACACCTTCAACAAGTCTCCCCCAAAGCGGGGCCTGGTTGTGGGGATCACATTCATCAAGGTACCCAGGACCCCCTCCACCTACCTGTGTCCCCCTTCTTACCCATATGGTGGATCCTTGGAGCCTGACCTAGATCCCCCCTGCTGCCCTGCCCTCCTCTGAGGCCTGTTTCCTCCCCCAGGATTCAGGGGACAAGGGCAGCCCCTTCCTTAACATTTACTGTGACTACGAGCCTGGCTCTGAGTACAACCTTGACTCCATTGCCCGTGAGTGTGGCCTGGAGGGGAAGGGAGGAGGGGATGGGGGGGCGGCCTGCCAGGGCCCTCCTGCTCATCTGCCTGTGTTCCCGTTGCAGAGAGCTGCCTGAACCTGGAGCTCCAGTTCACCCCTTTCCAGCTGTGCCACGCAGAGTAAGTGTCACCTGGGCATCCACAGTTCTAGCATAGAAGCTCTGGATTCTCCAGCGCCTTCCTTACAAAGAAAGATTCCCCGTTTTGAAAATGAAGGACTAGATCAGGGGTTGAAAACTAAAATGCCTTTAGGGGCCAGAGAGGTACTGTGAGAGCCGAGGCAAGTAAAGAGGGAGGGGACAGTGGCACGCTGGAGGCTGCAAACCTGCCCAAACACAATCAGATGCTATTTCTGTTTTTAAAGCATTGTACGTTTAAGTCCTCATGGTCCAACCGTTAAGCACTCGGCTGCTAACTGAAAGGTTGGTGGTTCAAACCCACCAGCTAGCCAGTCCACCAGAGAAAGGCCTGGCGATCTGCTTCTGTAAAGATTACGGCCTAGAAAACCCTGTGGGGCAGTTCTGCTCTGTCACATGGGGTCACTGTGAGTCGGAATCGACTTGACGGCACCTGACAACAACAATGGCTGCATTTGGCCAATGGGCTACTGTTTTTGTCACCTTGAGGTAGTTAATCTGTGTGAGTCATTTGAGCACCAGTGTTCTGACACCTCTAGGGTTGCTATGAGTTGGAATTGACTCAACGGCAATGGGTCTTTGGGTTCTAGACATCTAGAATCCTCAGGTTCTAATATTTAGACTCTGAGATTACAAATCCAGAAGTGCTAAATTTTCTAGAGCTGTAAGTTCTAAGATTAGAAAGTTCAATGGTTTGATAACCGAGGTTCTGTAATGATAAGGCCCTAGCAGTCTTATATTTCAAGGAGACAGAGTACAGACTGTCTAGAATACTGAGGGCCTGCAATTCCAAAGTATGTGGATTCCATTCTAGAGTCCTGGATTCCATTCTAGTGTTCCGAGGCTCCAGAACACTAATGGTCTAGCACAGAGCTTGGCAAACTTTTTCAGTCAAGGGCCAGATAGTAAATATTAGGCTTCAGGGGCCATACAGCCTCTGTCACAACTACTCAGCTCTTGCTGTTGTAGCATGAAAGCAGCCATTGGCACTGTGTAAATGAATGGGCATGGCTGTGTGCCAGTAAAACTTTATTTACACAAACAGGCGGTGGAAGTCGTGGAGTGTTCTAGGAACCAAAGGTTCTAAAGCACTGATGTCCTAGATTCTGGGGTTTAGATGCCCTACCCTTCTGAGTCTGAGCATCCATGATGACAGTTTCTAAAAGTTCCAATACTTCAAGGAGACAGAAAACAGAACTTCTAGAACTGGGGTTCTAGATTAAAGAATAGGGGCATTGGTGGTGCAGTGGTAAAATTCTCAACTTCCAAACAGGAGACCCGGGTTCCGTTCCCAGCCAGTGCACCACCGTTTGTCAGTGGAGGCTTGCATGTTGCTATGCTGCTGAACAGGTTTCAGCAGAACTTTCAGACTAAGACAGACTAGGAAGAAAGGCATGGTGATCTGCTTACAAAAATCAACCAATGAAAATGCTGTGGATCCCAGTGGTCTGATCCGTAGCTGATCATGGGGATGGCACAGGATCGAGCAGCATTTTGTTCTGTGTGCATGGGTTACTGTGACTCGAGGGCCGACTCGATGATAGCTAACAAGAACAACAAAGATTAAAGAGATCTGGCATTCTGAGGTCCCACATTCCCATTCTAGAGCTCTGGGTTCCATTCCTGAATCCACAGCCAGAATGAAGATTCTAGCAGGGGAGGGTTCTAGGAAGGCAAAGTTCCAGCATGCTAAGGTTCTGGAATTCTAAGATTGGAAAGTTATACAGTTCCACAATGCTGAGATTCTAGATGGCTAGTTTTTACAATTCTGCATTTCACAGAGATAGAATACAGGTAGTCCGCAACTTAACGATTTATTTGAGTTACGATGAACCACACTTAGGACTGTCTGGGTTTTTTTATTTTTTATTTTTTTGGTACCGAGATACAGTGGAGTCATTGGAACAGAACCCCACCATAAATCAGGGATTATCTGTACTAAGGAGCTAGAGCCTGAGATTCCGGCCCTGGATCCAGTGTCTGGATCCTGGAATGCAAAGGTTCTTGCAGGCAAGGGATTTTGCAACAGAGAGTTCTAAAGCATGTAGATTCTACCATACTCAGGTTCTGCCACACTGGGATTCTAGAGTTCTCTGTTTTCAGGGTCCAGGTTGCGGACCAGCTGGAGACTGTGTTTCTCTTGAGTGGGAACAACCCAGCCATTCATCTCTACAAGGAGGTGAGGGAGGGGAGACGAGGTGGGGCAGCCCTGCTGGGTATCACCATGAGCTGGGGCAGGGGTGTGTGGGGGAGGGTGGCTGCTGACCCCAAGGGGACATGGTGGATCTTGATTCCCCCAGAATGAGGGGCTGCACCAGTTTGAGGAGCAGCCAGTGGAAAACCTCTTCCCAGAGCTCACGAATCTGACCAGTAGGTAAGACAGCCCCTGAAGCCATCAGCGGGGACCGGGGCAGGCACCTCTGAGAAATCAGGGGTGGAAATGACCTCAGGGACATCAGGGGGTGGAGATGGCCTTAGAGAAACTGGGCATCGGGGATGAGCTCAGAAAAAATCAGACCACGAGTATGATTGCAGCGTAGTTGGTTGATAGTTATGACCCCAGAGAAAATGGGGAGTGGACTCAGAGAAATCAGGGTGGGAACGCCGTTCCCCCCACCCCCGAGAAATTGGGCCGCGGGGATTAATTACCTCAGAGAAATCAGGTAGCGGGGTGTTAGGGCTACAGGGAGGGGGTGGATGTTTCTGCGGACATGGAGATATGAGCCCAGGACCCTCTGGCCACCTCTGCCTGCCTGCCCACCAGCGTCCTCTGGCTTGATGTCCACAACCTGCCCGGCACATCCCGACGGCTCACAGCTCTTGGTTGTCAGAGTGGTTACGTCCGCGTTGCCCACGTGGACCAGCGGAGTCGAGGTGAGGTGAGGGCGGACCCGGTGGGGCTGGCGCTGGGGGTGGGGCTGGTGCTAGGGGCAGGATCTGAGTTCTCCCCTCCACGCAGAGATTTTGCAGACGTGGACCATCCAGCAGGACGGCCCCATCTCCCGCGTGATTGTGTTCAGCCTCTCGGCCCCTGAGGGTGAGCTCTGGACATGGGCACGGGGCCTTCTGCAGCCTTGATGCCCCCACCCAAGTTTCCACCCTTCTCCCAAAGTTTCCAGCTGCCCACCCCTCCTTCCTGTGCCCCCTCTCTGTGGTCTAACCTGCAGCCCTAGAGCTACAGTGCAGCCCTGCCCTCCGCTCTGGTCTCTTGAAGGTGACTCCCAGCTACTTGCCCATGTGATCTAACCCAGCCCTTTTCTGTTAGGCTTCACCTTTGTCGTTCCCGCTTTGGTCTGATCTTAGACTTCTACACTGGAGTTGAACTAATGCCTTTTTCTCTGTGGTCTAACCTTCACCCCTCCCATTGTGACTTCCTGTTACACCCTCTTCTGTCTCTGGTCTGTTCACTCTCTCTCTTGCTGTGGTTCGACTCCAGGCTTTTCTTATGGACCCCTAATGCTGTCCCACCCCTCAGGGTCTAACCTTTGTCCCCCATATGTTGCTGTGCATGCTGTGCTAGGTTCTTTGCTGGCATTTCCTTTGCTCTAACCTCTGTCCCTCCAACTACAGTCTATCTTTCGTTTTTTAGGCTCGTCTCTACTCTTATTCTTCCCACCATGGTTTATTCCCTGACACTCCATTATGGTCTAACCTTAGACTTTTGTGCTATAATCAAGCCTTTGTATCTCCTACCATGGTCTAACCTCAGACTATAAACCGTTCCTTCTTCTCGTGCCTGACCTCAGTCATTTTTCTCGTGTTCCAGCCTCCAACCCTCCGTCTGTAGCACAACCCCAAGCCCTTCTTCTGAGGTCTAACTTGCATTCCTCTTGCTGAAGTCCAGCTTAGGAGGAGTGATGTAGAACTTGTCCCCTGAGCCCTCCCCAATTCACGTTTCTTCTTCAGAGACCAAGGAGAGGCCACAACAGGAAGAGTACAGTGTGCTTGTGGCCAGCATGTTGGAGCCAGCTGTGGTATATCGGTGAGGGGCCCTGGGGCACGTGGGTGCAGTCTAACCTCATCACTTTGCACTGGGGTCTAGCCTTGTCATTCTCAGAAGACAGTCCCTCTGAGTGGGTTGTTTAAAACTGGGCAAAAGTTCATGCGCTAAGGAGGGGGATGTGAGTGTTTTAAGTCTAGAACTTACAGGAGATCTGTTGTGTTCTTGGCATGGGAACAAAGTTGTCCAGACCCCCTGGAGTGGGTGGACAACAAAGTGTGCTGGCAGATAGTTAACACCTGGCTCTGTGGGGGAAAAAGCCCTGATCTGTATCGTTTGCCAATTTCCCTGGTGTACATACTCCCACCATGGTGGATCTTAAGCCACCAACATGGTGTCAGCCAACTTGCAAATTTCCGAAAATTTCACAGGACCAGTCCAAGCCAGCTCAGCACCCCACTGGTGAACAGTGAAGATGCAGGTTGGACCTGAGCTCTCTAGGCCTCCTGGGGACAGTGTAGGTGTCCAGATTGGGGACAACAGTGTCTAGATCCCTAGAAAGAACAACATGGGTTTCCATTTGGGAGTGAGATTGGCCAGCCTTCAGGGGGAAATGTGGGTGCCCATATTGGGAACTCAGGGATTGACACCCTGAGGTGAACAATTTGAGTGACCAGGTTGGCCCCTCGTGGAACTATAAAGATGTCCAAATTGAAGGCAAGCTTGTCCAGTCCTCAGGAGGAACAGTGTATCTAGACCTGAGAAGGGCAGCAGTATGGGCACACGGGTCAGAGTCTGATGAGAAGGATGGTAGGCACTGCGGTCTGACTCAGTCTCTCTGCTTCATCCGGGACCTTCAGGGACCTGCTGCATCAGGGTCTTGAGGACCAGCTTATCCTCCCAGGCAGTGACCAGTTTGACAGCATCCTCTGTGGCCTGGTCACCGACATGGATTTGGATGGGCGGCTGGAAGTCCTGGTAGCCACCTATGGACAGGTGGGACCTGAGGAATGGCACAGCCCCTCACCTGTCCCCCTGCTCCCACCACCCTGGGTGACCCTGACCCCTCGCCCCCGCAGGAGCTGCTCTGTTACAAGTACTGGGGCCCGGAGTCCGGGCTCCCCAAGGCCGAGAGTGGATTCCGCTTGTTGTGGCAACGGAGTTTCTCCAGCCCACTGCTGGCCATGGCACATGTGGACCTGACTGGAGACGGGCTTCAGGAGCTGGCTGTGGTCTCCCTGAAGGGCGTGCACATCCTGCAGGTGACCTGGGGTCTCTGGTTGGGGCCCTGAGAGGCAGAGACTGAGAGGGGGGTTTCCTGTGGACCCACTTTATTAGGGCAAGCAGAATGGGAAGGGGGAGATGCCAAGCAAGGCTGTGGGCTATGGGAGGGTCTAGCCTCAGCCTGATCCCACAGGGAGCTCTGGAGCGTGAACGGTACCATGGACTCTTACCACCTTCAGGCAAGGGGGTCATACCTCTGTAAAAGTCAGTCATTAGCTGTAGACACCCCCTGGGGGAGGGAGTAACCTCCCAGGTGTTCCTGGGGGGCAGTGCCTATTGGTCAAGTTCAGCTCTCAGGAGAAGGGGGCAGCTATGAGCACTCAGAACAGCTGGGGGTGGGGGGCACCAGCTGGGAAAGGGGGTTTAGATGTGGCATCTGTTATCCCCAACCCCCTGTTCTACACTCAGCCTCTGGAAAGCCTTCTGGATACTGTCCTTCATTTCTCATGCTTTCTTTAACTCTGCCCCTTCTGCTGTGGTCTGGCCTTGGGTCTGCCCACCATGATCTAAACTTGCTTCCTTCTACTGCAGCCTAACCTTTGTGCTCCCTGTCAGATGGTTACTTCCCCTTCTTACTACAGCCAACCCTGTCTTCTGTGCCTTTAACCAACTTCATTCTAGTTATGGTCTAATCTCCAACCTTCCGTTGAGTTTCTTACTTTCATCTATTTCATTATAGTCATATTTCTTACCCTTCCCCTGCAGTAGAACCTCCAGCCTGTCTACTACAGCCAATTTCCAACGCTGCTGTTGTCTAACCTTGAACCCTTCCATTTTGGTCTAACCTCTGAACTTTCTATTGGGGTCAGACCCTTCAACTGTGGTCTGATTTCCAGCCTTCTGCTGTACTTTGACCTCTGGCCTTCCCTCAGCAGCATAACTGCCGTTATCCTTATTATGATCTAATATCCAACCATTCTATTGAGGTCCAACCTTGAACCCTCCATTGCAGTTTAATCTCCAACCCTTTTCACTGTGGTCCAACCCACACGCTTGAGGCTGTGGTGTATCTTTGTCTCCATATCTGGTGTTTGCCTTCTCCTTCCCCCTGGTCTGACTCCAGGATCCTTTTGGGTGTGGTCTAACCCAGGTTCTTTCTACTGGGGTCTAACTTTTACTGCTTCCACTGCAGTCTCTGCTTGGGCCTTTCCAACAGTCTTATTTCTCCTTGGCTGCTAATCAAAAGATCAGCAGTTCCAATCACCAGCCGCTCCTTGGAAACCCTATAGGTCAGTTCTACTCTGTCCTGTAAGGTTGCTATGAGTCAGAGTCGACTCGATGGCAACGCGTTTGGTTTTTTGGGTATTCCTCAATAGAGTGGTCTAGGTTAGGCCTCAGTGGAAAAGATAGAGATCGGACCACATTGGTTAGGACCAAGGTTAGATCCAAGTAAAATGGAATGAGGTTAGATCCCAGTAGAAACAACTGAGGTTAGACTCAATAGAGAGATCTCAGGTTAGACCCTAATGGAAAGGACATAGGTTAGACCCTAGTGGAGAGAGAGGTGTGAGGTTAGACCCTGATGAAAAGGACATAGGTTAGACCCTAGTGGAGAGATATGAGGCTAGACCCTAATGGAAAGGATACAGGTTAGATCCCAATGGAAAGCACCCAACCACCGTCCCTCATCATCTGTTTAAGTCATTTCACTGTGGTCTCTTCTACGTCCCTTCTGTTAGGATCTAACCTCAGATCCTCCAACTAGGGTCAAAACTTCGCCCCTCTTTTCCACTTTGGTTTGCTCCTTCTCTGTTCTATTGGCCTGACCTTTTCTGCCAGGGCCTCACCTTTGTCTCTCCCACTGTGGTCTAACCTCAACCTCTCTCCAGTGGTCAGCCTCACTGCTATTATAATGTAGGTTCGGGCTCTCTCATTCCTATCCATCACTCTCCCTCTCACTGATGGCTAACTTCAGACCTTTGCATTTGGGTCTCAGCTTTGTCCCCCCGACTGTGGATTCATGTAAGCCCCCCACCTAGGATCTAACCTTCACCCCTTTCAGAAGCCCATTTCTCCCTACATTCTGTGGTCTGCGCTCCGACCTCCCACAGTGGTTGAGCCCCCAGCCCTTGTAGGTGTCAAACTGCCCGGGCCCCTCCAGATCTGGCCCCAACCCTGCTCTCCTCTTTCTCTTGTCCCCACAGCACAGCCTGATCCAGGCCTCACAGCTGGTCCTGACCCGGCTTCGCCACCAAGTGGAGCAGAGGAGACGTCAGCAGCAACAGGGACTGGGGGGCAGGGTGGGTCCAGGAGCTGCTGAGACCCCGGCCTCTTGAGCACCCACCCACTCTCCCCAGGCCAGGGAAGCAGTTCTTTGGGGGGCTCCCTCTAGCATTGATGGGGAGGGGTAGACTCTCTCCCCAGCCTCCCCTTCACTGGGGTGGCAGAGCTGTGAGTTCTGCTCTGGCTCTGCCCCAGATGTGCCACATGACCCTGGCTAAACCGCTGCCTCGCTCTGTGCCTCGGTTTCCCCATCTGAAAACAGAGTGGCTCTCACCCGACTCACCTCCGCTCACGATGAGAATTGGCCCGCTGACGGTTATTTATATATCCAGAGGAACAAAGCTTTCACGGTTGTCTACATTCTTTTGTTCGGCAAGCGTTTGTTGAGCACCTGCTTGTGTGCCCAGCTTTGTGCTGGGGGCTGGATTTGCCCAGAAGAATGGAGGGAGGGGGATTTGGGGAAAGGGAATCCAAGGTTAGACCCAGAAACAGGACTGAGGTTTGATATCAGTGTAGACCTTAGAGGAAATAAATGAGATTGGACCTTGCTATAAAGTTAAAACCACTGTGGGATAGACTAGAATGTAAGAGAAAGGACTGAGGTTAGGCCCCAATGGAGAAGTCTGAGGTTAGACCCCAGTGGAGAGGCCTGAGGTTAGACCTCAGTGGAGAGACCTGAGGTTGGACCCCAGTGGAGAAGTCTGAGGTTCGACACTTGGCAGGGAGGATTGAAGTTAGACCCCAGTGGAAAGGCAATAAAGTTGGTGCTCAGAGGAAAGGACATGGGTAGAAAAGACTTCTGTGGAGAAGCTGGTCAAATTGCAGCAGAGTCTGAGGCTAGACCCCTATGAATAATGGCTGAGATTGAACCCCAGCAAAAATTACCGGCGTTAGACCTTGTCAAGGGCCAAGATTAAACCCCAGTGGACAGAGCAAGGGTTAGACCCCAGTAGAAAGCAGTTGAGTTTAGAGTCCAGTAGGGAGTATTGAGGCTAGACCTAGGCAGATAAAATTCAGGATAAGCCATGCTGGAAATGGCTAAGGTTAGACCTAATCTGAAGTGCCCAGTAACTGGGGGCCAGGGAGTTAAGAGACAAGGCTGAGTTGTTCAACCTGTGGCTCTAGGTATTCCTGCCCCTGTGGCCCCTTGCATGGCACCGAGAGAAGGAATAGAGGCTTTTTATCTCAGGGACCAGTGAAGGGCAGGGGTGATGGAAGAAGCCTAGCCCTCCCCCACCACAGGCCAGGAATAGAACCCAGGTCAAGAAGGTTGGGGAGGCATCCAGGCTAAGAAGGTTGGGGAGGCATCCAGGCTGGGGTGGAAGGCGAGCTCCTTTCCTCCTGGAGCAGGGACAGGTGGGACTCCTTGTGGGGGTGGGGGCAGGCACCACAATCATTCCGACCGTTCCTCTGTCTCCTGGCATGGAAGTCCAACCAGAAGGCTGACCGCTCACGCTGACAATGAAGACTGAGCCACCAGTTCTGTACAGAGGGTTTTTAGGAGAGGAGCCCACCCCTCCTTGGGCGTGTCTGTCTGCATCGCTGTCCCCCTCCTTGTCCAGAACTGGGCTGGGGCGTGGGAAGTCTCCGGGAGCTGGCAGCAGACCCAGGAGTGTGCAGCCAGGGCTGGCAGTGGGCATGGGCCTCTGGCATGAGCAAGACCGCCTCCTGCCTGTGGCCCGCCCACCTGCAGAGAATGGACACTTGGAAGCTCTCAGTTAGGTTCCGCAGGAAAGAACACTCCCATCTCCTTTGGGCTGGGAGTGGATTCCGGCGGTGGGTTTGGGGTGAGTTCAGTGATGGTGGTGTGTGTGTGTGTGTGGTGTGTGTGCACCCCAGAGAGGTGAGAGTGTCCACTTAAGGACTCACAAATTTGCATCTTCAGGAAGCTGGGTGTAGCCTAAGCGAAGTAGTTATGGGATGTAGAGCCCGAAGCCACACTGCCTGGCTTCAAATCCTGCTCCTACCACCTTGGGCAAGTCACTTCGCCTCTCTATGCCTCGGTTTCCTCATCTGTAAAATGGGGCTAATAATAGCATCTACCTCCCAGGGTGGTTACCAGGTTTAATTGTGTCAATGTACAGCAAGCACTTAAAAAATTGGTATAATGCCTGGCACCACATGGTAAGGGCTGTATGGGTGGCAGCCATTATTATTATTACTAATGGGTGCCTTTGGGGTTGTTGCTAACTTTCTGGGTGAGGTTCTGTCTGCAGGCACAGTGTGTGAATTTGGATCTGATTCCGCCTGAACATTCTTCCCCTCCTCCCAGTTCCCGAGCCTGTAACTATTTGTGGCTGCTTTTTGCATCTTTTGGCCCTCATATGGATCTGAGACTCTGTGTGTGTGCGTGTGCATGTATGACACACACACACACACACACACACGCACGCACACACACATACACACGCACGCTCTCTCGCCCTCTCCACCGCTGTCCCTCGCTTTTAGTGCTGAACTGGCCTGGCGGGTGGGTAGGAGGCTGGGCACCCTCCTCTCCCTGCTCCTACCACCCCTCCCCAAGCCTTCTCCACCTCCTGCACACTCCTCCTCTCCCCTCCCCTCTCCCTGCCTCCGCCTCCTCCCCTCCCTCTCCTGCTCCTCCTTCTCCCTCCCAGCTCTCTCCTACACCCCTCCTCCCTTCCTCCCTCTCTCGCTGACTCCCCCTCCCCCGTGTCCTTCCCCCCCCTCCTCCCTCCATCCCCTCTCACTCCCCTCCTCCCTGGCTCTCCCTCTCAGTCTCTGGCTTCTCTCTCTTTCCCTCTCTCTCTCTGTTTTTCTCGGGTGGAGTCGCCCACCACTGCTAGCCCAGTCCTGGAGGGACCTGCTCCAGGCTGTAGCCGCAGGTAAGAGTCCCCTAGTTTTGGGGGGCTTGTGGGAGGATGGTGTTACCCATGCGGCCGGGTGAGGGGTTTGAGGATCCGGGAGCTGCTTTTCCCTGATCTCATTTGGGGGTGCTGCATATCCCGGGCTCGGGTATCAGGACCCCTCAATGGGGTGAGGGCACCACTCACAGCCCCAACACCCTCAGCCCCTCCTGTACTCCAGGGAAATTGGGGGCTGGGGAAGGGGTGCCTCCTGGGTGCTGAAGGGGCGAGAACACCCCACCCCCACCCCTGTCTGGGGCAGCCCCGTCCTGCGTTCTCCACCTCCGCCCCCACCTTCCTGTGTCTGGGTCTCATCTTTCTGTCTCCACACCTCTCAGGGGTCTCTTGTGGAGTCGGAGTGCTTTTCTCTGTCTCCCTATCTCTCTCCGTCTCTCTTGTCTCTTCTCTCTGTTTCTCCCTGTGCCTGGTTCTCTTCTGTGTCTCTGGCGCTCCAGGTCTCAGTCTTTGGTTTCTCTCAGTCCCCCTCTTTCACTATCTGTGTGTTTCTCTCTGTGCCTCTGCTTTCTCCTCTGTCCCCGTGTCTCTGTCTGCTTCATCTCTGCGGGTGTCTTCCTCTCTCTTTCCTGCCTGTCTCTCTCTCTGGTCTCTATCTCTGTGTCTGGGTATTCCATCTCTGTTTCTCTCTCTCTTTTCTCTTGCTCTCCCTGGGAGCCTGTGGACGCTCCTCCTACACACCTTTATCTCCGCCCCTGGCAGAGGGAGACTTGGAGGAGGAAGATCTCCCCCCTGGAGGGGGCTCACCCAGAAGACCTGGAGCCCCCTAAATTCCTCTCCCTTCTTCAGCCTGGTGCTAGCAGAGCCTGTCTCCTCTCCCCTGCCTTGTTTCTGGGATTCTGAAGCCAGTCTTTACTGCAGTCTAACCTGTATCCTTTGCTGTAGAGACTGGACAAGTCCCTTCTGTACTCTAACCTCCTCCCTCTTCATATAGACTGGGCCGGTCTTTCCTGTAGTCTAACTTCTGTACCTCTTGCTGTTTGTCCATTCTTTCCTTAAGTGATAGGTGAGAGTCAGTGATGAGAAGGGTGTGTGAGCCTGTGCCTGCAGCCTGCTGATGCTGTGGTGGGTGTGGACTGCCTTGTGCACGGGGAGTGTGTCCACCTTCTCTGGGGCCACAGATGAGGTCACAGCCCTGTATGACGATGCCTGTGGGGGACTCAGATGGGTTTAAAAGATTGCTGGGTTATGAGTCCCACACCTGGTGTTTCTATCTCTGACTTGAAGCTGTGTGACTTGGCTGAGCCTTTTCCTAGCTCCGGTCTCAGTTCACCTACTGGTGGCTGGAGGCGTCCCTCCCAGCCCTGAACATTGGAACTCTGGGAGTGTGTGTGATCTTCAGGCTGGGACATCACGTGATTGTGAGGGAGCCATGAGCCGGTGCCCACACATTTCTCCCAGGGGCAGCGGGAACCCCCAAACCCCACCATGAGCACAGTCACCACCCACCCTCACCCCAATTGGTGGCAGCAGCTTCAGGGACAGGGTCCTACCTGGCATGCCAGACTGGGCCCACACCTCAGCCAGAAGCCCCACTCCACAGATGAGAACATGGAGGCCCAGAGAGGCATGTGAGGCAGAACTGGGGTGCTCACCACTGACACAGCTGGCCACGGGCCCACAAGGCTGGAGAGAGATGGCTCAGGGAGATGTCGCCACCTTCCTGGGACCCAGAGCTGGTGCCCGCCATCTGCCTTCCCAGCTCCTACCCTGGCTCAACCTGATCCTTTTGCCCCTGGATTCTAAACCCGGATTAGATTTCAGGACTGCTGGTGGGCAGGAGCCTGGGCAGAAGGAACCTGGCTGTCCCAGCTCTCGGAGCCAGGGCTCCGACCTATTGCTCATTCATTTCACAAACATTTATGTTAGCGCTTTCTTTCCCTGACGCCTCCCCTGCCAAGGCCCCAGTGAGAGTAAACTGGCTTTCTGCAGGAAAAGGGATTGAGCTGGCCTGCAGGCATGAGAACACCCATCGACTGTACCTGGTCTCACTTGAGGACTGCAGCAGGAGAGATAGGTGGCTGGACTTGAGGGAGACCTTCCCAGGCCATTGCCCTCTCAGAGAGAGGCAGTTAAATGCTTTAGAGGAATTCTTGACTCCTAGGTGGCCCTTATATCTCCTTAAAGCCAGGGAGGAGGGAGGGAGACGAGAGAGATCAGGAGTCTTTGCTTTGGATCCTGGTGGGTTTGCAATTATGCCTAAGTCGTGGCTAATTAGGGAGCTACTAATTAGATGTATCATTAGGGGACTTGCCAAGGGGGCTAAGTGTGTGGTGGCCCTTTAAGAATCACCTCTGTCACCCGCCCACACGTTCTCGAGCTCCGTGTGCTCTCTCTCTCTCTCACACACACACACACACACACACACACACACACACACACACTCACACACTCATTCCCTCTCTCAGGACGTTCTGTCAACTATCTGCCTCCCTCCCCACCAGGAGCTAGCTCCCAACCTGTGGGTATGTGGGCATGCGTTGAGGGGAGGTTGGTTGGGGGGAGGTTGTGGGTTAGACTCTGAGAAGAACTTTTCAGACAGAAATGGAAGTCACTTGGAGAAGTGAGTCTGGTGGCCAAGAGAGGGGTCATGGAGACTCAAAGGACACCCCCTTCCTCTCTCCTTCCCTTTTTTATAGGCTACTGGGTTACCATGGCAACATGAGGGTGGGACAGAGGAGCTAGGAGTGAAGGCCCCTCTTTCACCTGGAAAGAGAAACTGGGAGCCATGGAGTTGGCGCTGTGTGACATCGGGCAAGTTATTTCGCCTCTCTGAGCCTTCATCCTCTCCTCTGTGAAATGAGTAGGGACTCCCCAGGGGGGATGGTGTCATTTTGCAGAGGGTGGTCAGAGAAGGCTGCACTGAGGAAGTGACATCTGGAGACCTGGAGAGGAGAGGGAAAAAGACTTGTGGATATGTGGAGAAGAGTGTTCAGGAAGGGGGAACAGCATGTGCAAAGCCCCTGAGGCACGAACGTGGCTGGTGTGTTTTGAGGAGCCTTTGTCTGGTCTAGGTTTCCTCCTCCTTGATGCATGTGTGTCTGCAGAATCTAGAGTTGTGGCTCCCTGGGCCTGGAGAGCTTATCTATTTGTATAAATATATGCTCACATCTGAGGGTTGCCAGGTACGGTTGTGCAGGTTGTGCACTGCAAATGGTATTGGGCTGAAGAGGGCAAGACGGGGCTGAGCAAGGAGCCACGGACCTGGAAATGTGATTGGCTCAGAGTGAGTGGGGGGAGAGGGTGGGAGATGGGGTCAGACAGGGAAAGGGGATCAGATGTTGGGGATGATGTGAGCCAACTTGCGTTTTTGAAGGAAACCTAGATGAGACACAGAAATAGCTGCTCAAACTCAAGACCAGAGGCAGGGAGAGAAGCACTGAAACAGGACAAAAAGCCCAGCGCAGGGCCTCATACATCACAGCTGCTAAGGAGTTGTGCAATTACAGAAATTCAGAAAAAGCCCAGATCAGAGACCCAGGAGACTGGAAAGAGACTCCTGCCGCCATCATGGGGAGAGGTGCTCTGTCTCCCTCCCTAGGTGTGAGTGAGACACCCTCTAGCAGCCCCTCCCAGCTCCACCCGAGAAAAATAACCACAACACCTGTCACAGCCCAAAGCTCCAAGCAGGAGCCCTGTGAGGACAGGTGGAATCACCTGTGAATTTAGGGCCCCCAACTCACAGCCCCATACACTGCATGATACAGTTTGTGTTCTTTTGTGCTTGGCTTCATTCATCCATCATCATGTCTGTGGGATTCGTCTGTGTTGTTGGGTGTATCAAGAATCCGTTCCTTTTTCATTGCTGTGTAGTATTTCACTGCATGCTCTGTGCTGCGTGATCCATTTTACTGCTGATAGGTATCTGGGTGTGTTTCCAGACTGGAGCAATTAAAAATAAGCTGCTATGAACATTCTTGAATGCGTCTTTTGGTGGACATGTGGACATGGTTCTCTGGGGCACATAGACCGAGGAGCAGAATTGCTGGGTTGTAGGATGCATGATGTTCAGCTGCCATAGACAGCCAAATTGTTCCCCAATTTCTGTCCACGCGAACAGTGCAGGAGTATTCCTCTGTCTTGCTTGGTCTTTCTGTGCCTTTCTCTCTTGCTGGCTTTCTCTGTGTTTCTTTGTCTCTCTGTCTCTGCGTGTGTCCCTCCGTTTCTATCCTCCCTGTGTTGGTCCTCAGTTTCCCTCCCATGCTCCACCCCCAACAAGCCTTGACTCCGCGTGATGGGGAGGGGTTTGCTTGACTCACCTGGACCCCTGCTTCCCCTCCACAGGACCCCACCACCCCCCATGGCTCGCCTGGCCTTGGTGGGGGTCGCACTCCTCCTGGGGGCCCCCCCTTGCTTGGGGGTGGCCACCCCGACCCCCTCCCCACCGCCTCCCCCGGCCAATGACAGCGATGCTAGCACGGGGGGCTGCCACGGCTCCAACCGCTGCCAGCCGGGGGTCCTGCTGCCCGTGTGGGAGCCCGACGACCCGTCTCTGGGTGACAAGGTGGCGCGGGCCGTTGTCTACTTTGTGGCCATGGTCTACATGTTCCTGGGCGTGTCCATCATCGCTGACCGCTTCATGGCGTCCATCGAGGTCATCACGTCCAAGGAGAAGGAGATCACCATCACCAAGGCCAACGGTGAGACCAGTGTGGGCACTGTCCGCATCTGGAATGAGACTGTGTCCAACCTTACGCTCATGGCTCTGGGCTCCTCGGCGCCTGAGATCCTGCTGTCGGTCATTGAGGTCTGTGGCCACAACTTCCAGGCAGGCGAGCTGGGCCCGGGCACCATCGTGGGCAGCGCTGCCTTCAACATGTTTGTGGTCATTGCTGTGTGTGTCTATGTCATCCCGGCTGGTGAGAGCCGCAAGATCAAGCACCTGAGAGTCTTCTTCGTCACTGCCTCCTGGAGTATCTTCGCCTATGTCTGGCTTTATCTCATCCTTGCCGTCTTTTCCCCGGGTGTGGTACAGGTGAGCAAAGACCCACGAACCTCCTCCTTAATGCATGTGTGTCTGCAGAATCCAGAGGGGTGACTACCTAGGTTTGGAGAACTTGTGTATTTGCATAAATGCATGCTCATGTCTGAGGGCCTTCAGGTATGGTTGGCCAGGTTGTGCACTGTGCAATGGTATTGGGCGGAAGAGGGAAGTTGGAGCTGGAATCCATCCTATGCTCCTAAACCTTGTCTCTGGATGGCGTTGCAGGCCCTGGCAGGGGCTCATCTGCCCAGAGGGGGCGCTGTTTTGCAATGTATCCACTCAGATTTTGTAATGTACTCACTGAGAAGGGGCACCTTTTAATGCTCACAGAGGCGCCGTACATACTAGCAGAGTCCCTGTGATCTGTATAATGCATGCTGCAGTTCACAGCCCAGCCAGGTATTGGCCAAGTATGTTCACATGTTTTCCTACACCCCCTTCCTTTTGCATAATTTATTCCTGCTCTTGCAATAAGGCATCCCCCTTCTGCATAATTCATGCTCAGCTTGCATAATCCAGCCTGGTGTTTTCTGACAGGGATAATCAGTTTGGGTGACTTGGTGTGATTTGCATAATTTATCCATGGATGTTTATGGAGACATGCGCATATCTGCATAATCTAGCTCCGTCTTTGCCAGAGATGCAGTCGTGCTTTGCATAACTCTTTCATTATTCATCCTTGATTTCTGACGTTGGGATCATTTATGCCACTTCAGTGTAATCTATACTCACATGTCATCTGATGTAGGTATAAATACAGTGACCACTTTGCATAATTTATCCCAGTAGTGAGACAAAATTTCAACCCGCAGCTGTATAATTTACACTGACACTTGCATAATTTATACCAACATTTGCATAATTATTTGCCCAGCATTTTAACCTGCATACTCCATGGTCCATTTGACTGATTTATTTCCCACAATCCCACTGCAGCCATCCATATTTGTATAAATGATTGTGGGCTTGGCCTAATTCATTCTCATGCATGCATAATTTATGTAAGGGGGCCTAAGATTTGTTCATACATGTGTGTGATCTATTCATGCCTTTCTGTCAGGTTTTTTCCAGTTATAGTTTTTCCCAGGAAGGGTCTGAAGCTACAGGTATAAAAATGCTTTGCAGATGATGTAATAAAGGCAGAACCGAGGGATCAGAAACCACAGTGAGGAAAGGGGGTGAGAGTAGCCCCAGAAGACAGGATGAGAGAGGGAGAGAAGAGTTACTGCAGCTGACCCATGGCTGTAGCGCTGAGCTTCCTGGCTGCCATGGCGAAAAGTGCTGACTGATGCGTCACAGAGTTCTCATGTGCTGTTAAAAAGGATGGTGTTAAGAAGGCTGTGAAAAAGAATTGTAGACACCATGGCAAGAGGTGTGGTAGGCGTGGGTATAGAGAAGATGTTTCTCTGAGAAGGAGCTGACTGAGCTGTAGGGAAGAGAGAAAGAGAATAAAACGTCACAACTCTTGGTAGAGAAGCAACCACGGGGGATCCCTCTGGGAATAATATGTAAACCAGCATTATGGGACATTTCCACTAAAGACCTGGAAGAACTGGGGTTAGATAAAGATGACCCCAATTCCTCCCAGATACAGTATGCTGGATGAGTGAGAGGACAGGGTCTTAGCTCTGGATTTTCTCCAGAATTGCTGTGTGACCTTAGGCAAAGCCATACCCTGTCTGGGCCTCAGTTTTCACACCTGAACCATAGACAGGATTGAACTAGACCAGTGGTTCTTGACTATTTATACCCAATGCCTTCTTTTTATAGCAAATATTTTATTACATCCCCTTTGCTGTTAGATACTACTAAGACGCTCCTACTCTGAAATTCTTAAATAATAGAAGAGAGGTCTTGTAGCCTCAGGGTTTGGTGCACAGACCATAGAGCCAGATGGCCTCGATTCACATCCCACCTTTGCTGCTTATTAGCTATGTGACCTAGTTACTTAGCTTCTCTGTGCCTCAGTTTCCCCACCTATAAAATGGGGGTCATCAGAGTACCTGCCTCATTGAGGCTGCCATGAAGAACAACTGGATTGCTATGTGTGGAAGGGCTTCCAACAGTGTTCCTGGAACAGAGCCAATGTTAGCTATTCTTACCATTAATTAATTTGTCTGTACAGGAGGGAGGAGGAGCCTAGTGCTTGGCTGCTAACTGAAAGGTCAGCGGTTCGAACCCACCAGCCACTCTGAGGGAGAAAGATGTGGCAGTCTGCTTCTGTAAAGATTACAGCTTAGGAAACCCTGTGGGGCAGTTCTACTCTGTCACTATGAGTCGGAATTGACTCAACGGCAACAGGTTTGGGTTTTTCTCGGTATACTTGTGGGAAGGAGCCCTGGTGGCACAACAGTTAAGAGCTTGGCTGCTAACTGAAAGGTTGGCTGTTCAAACCCCACCAGCGACTCCACAGGAGAAAGACCTGGTGATCTGCTCCTGTAAAGATTACAGCCTAGAAAACCATATTGGGACAGTTCTACTCTGTCACATGGGGTCGCCATGAGTCAGAATCGACGGCATCTAACAACAATACACATGGGAGTCCCAGAAACCAAAATCGTTGCCATCGAGTTGATTCCAACTCACAGCGACCCTATAGGACAGAGTAGAACTGCCCCATAGGGTTTCTGAGGAGCAGCTGGTGGATTCGAACTGCCGACCTTTTGGTTAGCAGCCAAGCTCTTAACTACTGTGCCGCCTGGGCTCCTCATAGGAGTCCCAGGGCAGTACAAATGGTTTAGTGCTTGGCTGCTAACTGGAAAAGTTTGAGTCCACCCAGAGGTGCCTAGGAAGAAAGGCATGGTGATCTATTTCTGAAAAATCAGCCATTTAAAACCCTATGGACACCCTTCAGCCAAAGATTAGATGGGCCTGTAAAACAAAACAAGACTAAATGGGTACCTCAGCCCAGGGGCAAGGACGAGAAGGCAGAAGGGGACAGGAAAGCTGGTAATAGGGAACCCAATGTCGAGAAGGGAGAATGTTGACAAGTCGTGGGGTTGACAACCAATGTTACAAAACAATATGTCTATTAATTGTTTAATGAGAAACTAGTTTGCTTTGTAAACCTTCATCTAAAGTACAATAAAAAAACTAAAAACAAATAGAAAGAAAGGAAACCCTATGGAGCGTTTCATGGGACATCCCAGTTAATTGGCCTAATAATTAGTGCCTCTGTTCTACCTCCTCCTTCGATTTGTAGCGCCTGGGGTATTCAAAGCTTGGAAGCCGCCATCCAAGGTACAACAATTGGTCTCTATTCGCCTGGAAAACCGGAGTAACAAGGAGAGTCAGGAATAGGAGGAGGATATGGAATGTGTGGCTAATTGCCTCCATGAACAACCGCCTCCTCAACCATGAGACCAGAAGAACTGGATGGTGCCCGGCTACCATTACTGAACATTTTGATCAAAGATTCTGTAGAAGAATCCTGATTAAAAGAGAGAAAATGCAGAACAGACTTTCAAATTCTCATGGACTCCAGATTTCTTGGAGCCATGAAGGTTGGATGAACCCCTGAAACTATTGCCCTGAGATAATCTTTAAACCTTAAAGCAAAAATATCCCCTGAAATCTTCTTAAATCCAAATAATAGTTTCGCTTAACTAGTAAAGAATGTCTGCCTTGAGCATTATGCTCCTTTAAGAGCTATCTATATGGAATCAAACTGACAACAGCAACTCGGAAGATTAGATAGGAACATTAGGGGGCAGTGAATTTATGTTAATAGGGGAGGAACAACTCAGAAAAGGAGGGTGAGAATGGTTGCACAACTCGAAGAATGTCACTAAATGGTACGTGTAGAAACTGTTGAATTGTTGTATGTTTTGCTGTGTATATTCTCAACAACAGAATAAATAAAATTACATTAAAAAGAAAACCCTGTGGAGCACAGTTCTACTCTGACGCACGTGGGGTTGCCATGAGTCAAGAATCAACTCCCCAGCAACTGGTTGTTATACATGTGGCTTCTCTAAAAAGTCAGTATAATGCCCTAACTGGGATATAAAGAAAAGTCATCTAAAATACAACAGTCTGCGTTTCCACATGTAAATGCTGCGACGTAACGAGGGAGAAGGCATAATGAGAGAGTCAGATGCCGGCATTTACTGAGTGGCACAAACGGTTTGCGCTTGATGACTAACCGAAAGGTTGGCAGTTCAAATCCACCCAGCGGTGCCACGGAAGAAAGGCCTGTCGAACTACTTCCAAAAGGTCACAACTTTGGAAACACTGTGGAGCAGTTTGACTCTCTGACACACACGAGGTCGCCATGAGTCGGAATCGACTTGATGGCAACAGGTTCGGGTTGTTGTTGTTGTTTTTTTTTTTTCGGTTTGAGTTTAAGAGAAAGAAAAAGAAACCATTCTATGCAAAAAGTAGAGCCTGAGGAGCAGGTAGCTACCAGGTTAAAAATGAGTGTATTCAGCATATATGAGACCACGCAAGAAAGTACTTCTCGTGTACATAAAACAGAGTTGAGTTGAGTTGTTGTTGTTAGGTGCTGTGGAGTCGATTCTGACTCATAGCGACCCCTTGTGACAGAGTAAAACTGCCCCATAGGGCTTTCTAGGCTGTGATCTTTACGGGAGCAGATCGATAGGTCTTTCTCCCGTGGAGCTGCTGGGTGGGTGGGTTCGAACCGCCAACCTTGCGATTCACAGCCAAGCGCTTGACCATTGGACCATCAGGGCTTCTTGAGTGGAGCGCTGGAGTTGGACATTCGACTCAGATAATGATGAACAGGGTTTTCATTGACGTGAGTGGCCAGTGAACGTTCTCAAGTCAAGCAGGACATAAGACAATTCTGTATTGTGTGGGACTGTCCCCATGACTCACTAGATGTCAACAGGACGTTAAATGTCAGGACAATATGCCCCTCCCCAGTTACGGTGGGAGGTCCCTGGCTGGCGTAAATGATTCAGCGCTTGACTGCCAGCCAAAGGTTGGAGGTTCGAGTCTACCCAGAGGTGCCTCAGTAGAAAGGCCTGGTGATCTACTTCAGAAAAATCAGTCATTGAAAGCCGTATAGAGTACAGTACTACTCTGACACACATGGGGTCGCCATGAGTTGGAGTCGACTCCACGACAACAGGTAATTATGGTCACAACCAATAAACATCCCCAGGTTTCCAATACCCCCTCTCTCAGTGGGAATGAGTCTCACTCCCCTCCCTGGGGTCACGTTCACAGCACTCGGTGGGGGGGGCATAGAAGGAGGATGAGGGTGCCAAGCTTCTAGGATCACTTTTTATTTACCTGCAGGGAGGAAAACAAATCTTAGGGGTTTGAGATTTTCTTCTGATTAACAGAGAATTCCCCCACAGTATATATAGGGGGTCAGTTCAATTAATATAAGGTGAGAGAGTTCATTTTACAAATTGTACTGAAAATTGGGTTTCTTTTCACAAGCCAGCCTGGTGGCTTTATATGAGTTTACTGGCTCCAAGTCTTGCCTTTTCTCTGAAACATCAGTCAACACAGGGACCATACGATGTGGAGACTGGATCTTAAAAGGTATTTTCTCTACCAGGCTCATTTTTTAAGGTACTTCTATAACCAAAAGGTCGGCAGTTCGAATCCACCAGCTGCTCCTTGGAAACCCTAAGGGCCAGTTCTACTCTGTCCTGTAGGGTCACTATGAGTCGGAATCAACTCGATGAGAATGGGTCAGTGTAAATACTCTTTAATCATTTCTTCCTTATCTTTACTGAGAAAGGTAACATTTGGGTTTTTTACATGACTGTTTTCAAGGCAAACTTCCAAGTCTTGGTGGAGGGTTTCCATGGTGTGCTCAGGCGTGTGCATGTGGTGGGCAGTGAGAAGACTGAGTCCTGGCCTTGAATAAACAGAAGATACAATAAACACAAACAACAAAACAGCTGCCGAGGAGTTGATCCCAATTCATGGTGACCCTGTGTGTGTCAGAGTAGAACTGTGCTCCATAGGGGTTTCAATGGCTGATTTGTCAGAAATCAATCACAGGCCTTTCTTCCAAGGCGCCTCCAAGTGGACTCGAACCTCCAGCCTTTCGGTTAGCAGCAGAGCTTGGTAACCATTACTGATACCAGCAGTAATAAAGGTGATGTGAATTCCATGTCTTGAGTATTATTTTCCACGTGCCAGGAACCGACAATGTTAAATGCTAGGGCTGCATAAGTTCATTCTGTCCTGAGGATGTTCCCGTTTTACAGATGAAGAGACTGAGACCGGCATCCTTCTTCTGGAAGCAGGATCTGAACTCAGAGCTGCCTTGCCTCTCTGGGGAGGCAGCACACCAACATGGGAACTTGTTTTATGAGGCTGAGACGTGATGAGCTGAACTTGTGCTTCTTTTAGAGCTGTGGTCCTGTCCGCAAGGGGGGACTCTGGCAAGAGCTGCAGTTACTGGGGGGCAACAGAGGAAAGGCTTTGGGAGAAGTGAGCAGAGAGGAGACCAGAGACAATGGGTGGGCGTGGGGAAGTGGGAGCTGTCCCAGGAGGAAAGGAGCAATGGAGCAGGGAGAAACGAGATGGAGGGAGAGAGAGAGGCAGGAAGAGAGCCAGGCTCTGCCTCTTGACAGGGGCTGGGACTGCAAGGCGGGGACATGTCTGTTGCATGGTGGTGGCTGAGGATGTCTGGGTCCTCGGCACCTAGGAGGGGTGGTCCTCCGTGTGATAAAAGGTGGGTGGATGGATGAATGAGGAGATCAGGAGAGAGACAGGCAGAGAGAGGGAGAGAGAAAGACCCAGAGAAGAGACAGAGAGAGAGAGGGAGAAGTAGCTCTGGAGAGACACAGATATTGAAAGAGAGGAGAGAACTGTGGAGCACATCACCAGGAAAAGAGACAGGTATCTACAAGAAGATATAACAGAAGAACGTGGAGACAGGAGACAGTGGCAACAAGAAAGAATGAGAGAGAAAGTGGAAGAAAGACAGGAGGAGAAAAGGAAAAAACGAATTGGGATACAGTGAATGAGACAGAGGCAGGGAGAGAGAGGCAGAGACAGAGAGAGATGCGGAGAGGCAGAGATGAGCAGAGACAAGAGCCAGAGAGAGACAAAAAGAGAGGGACAGGGACAGAGAGAAAGGTGTAGACAGACGAGAGAGAAAAATGGGGCTAATGTGTGAGAGACAGAAGGAAGCAGGCAGGGAGAGATGGGGAGAGGCAGAGATGAACAGAGACAAGAGCAAAATGAAAAAAAAAACAAAAACCAAACCCATTGACGTCGAGTTGATTCCGACTCATAGCGACCCCATAGCAGACTGCCACACCTTTCTGGCGGAGCCTCTGGTGGTTTCAAACCGCCGACCTTTCAGTTAGTAGTAGATTGCTTTAAGCACTGCGCCACCAGGACTCCTTTAAGAGCAAAACAGAGAAAAAGAGGGACAGAGTCAGAAAGGAAGACATGGAGAGAGATGGGGAGAGGGAGAGAGAAATGGGGGTGGGGTGAGAGAGAGAAAGAGAAAAACAGAAACAGAAATAGGGAGAGGCAGAAATGAACAGAGACAAGAGCAAAATAGAGAGAAAGGGACAGAGAAAGAGAGGTGGAGAGAGAGAAATGGGGGGGTAATGTGTGTGTGTGTGCATGTGTGTGTCTGAGAGAGAGAGAGAGAAGCAGACAAACATAAATGGGGAGAGACAGAGATGAATAGACGACAGCAAAATAGGGAGAGACAGAAAGGAAGAGTTGGTGAGAGGTGGAGAGCAGGAGTGGAATGGTGGTGATAGGGAGGCAGGGATGGAGGGGAGACATTGAGAGACACCAGAGGCGGGGGAGCCGGGGCAGGGAGGCGCAGGCGGGCGTCTCCTGGCGAGGGGGCCAGGGCAGGTGGCTGGTGGGCGCCCCCTGGCGGCAGGGGCGGAGCGGGCGCCCCCTGGCTGCCTGTCCTGACGCCGCGGCCACCCGCAGGTGTGGGAGGCGCTGCTGACCCTGATCTTCTTCCCGGTGTGCGTGGTGTTCGCCTGGATGGCTGACAAGCGGCTGCTCTTCTACAAGTACGTGTACAAGCGCTACCGCACTGACCCGCGCAGCGGCATCATCATTGGCGCCGAGGGCGACCCGCCGAAGAGCATTGAGCTGGACGGCACGTTTGTGGGCGCCGCCGAGGGGCTGGGGGCCGAGCTGGGCGGCCTGGGCCCGTGTCCGGCCGAGGCGCGTGAGCTGGACGCCAGCCGCCGCGAGGTCATCCAGATCCTTAAGGACCTCAAGCAGAAACACCCGGACAAGGACCTGGAGCAACTGGTGGGCATCGCCAACTACTACGCGCTGTTGCACCAGCAGAAGAGCCGCGCCTTCTACCGCATCCAGGCCACCCGGCTGATGACCGGCGCGGGCAACGTGCTGCGCAGACACGCGGCGGACGCTTCGCGCAGGGCCACCCCGGCCGAGGGCCCCGGCGAGGACGAGGACGACGGCGCCAGCCGCATCTTCTTCGAGCCCAGCCTCTACCACTGCCTGGAGAACTGCGGCTCGGTGCTGCTCTCCGTCACCTGCCAGGGCGGTGAGGGCAACAGCACCTTCTATGTGGACTACCGCACCGAGGACGGCTCGGCCAAGGCCGGCTCTGACTACGAATACAGGTGGGTGCCCGGGCCCCCTGGCCTCCTTGGGCGGTTGGGCAGGGAGGGTTGGTTGTTTGCAGATCTTGCTGGCCTGCCTCCTGGCAGCTTCCAGAGCCCACCCTTACCCTGTTGTGGGCAGACCTGCAGTATCCATTTGTTGGCTGCTTCCTCCCTCCCTCCTTCTCTCCTTTCTTCCCTCCCTCCCTCCCTCTTTTCCTTCCTTCTTCATGAACAAAAGAATCCACATCCATCCACCTCCCTTGGTTGTGGAAAAGCCATTCACCATCTTCGGGCTTCCATTCGTTGAGTCATTCATTCATTCGTTCTTCATGAACAAACAAATCCATCCCCATTCACCTCTCCTACCTGTCCCTCCCCAGCCTTCCCCAGTGGGCACAGCTTTTCGCAGGTCTTTGTTCTGTCAACCAGTAGCATGGGATCCCACTGGTCACCCATGACCTCGTCCCTCCAACCTCCCCCACCATCCCACATCTAGCAGCCTCTTTCTGTTGTCGAAAAGCCATTCACCATCTTGGGCATTCATGCATTTGTTCATTCATTCATTCTTCATGAACAAATGAATCCACCCCTATCCACCTCTCCTACTTGCTCCTCTCAGCCTGTCCCAGTGGGCACAGCTGTTCACATGTCTTTGTTCTGCCATCCAGTAGCATGGGATCCTTTTGTCCACTTATGACTTTCTCCCTCCAACCTCCCCCACCATCCCACGTCTGCCAGCTTCCCATTCACCATCATGGGAATTGCTGTCACTCAATAATCTTTTCACCTTTCCACTCCTTCCCACACCCCTAGTCTACCTTGCCCCCATCTAAAACCCTGAACCCTGAGACACTCTCTCACTTGAACTTGGGACTGAGATGTTTGAGATGTAGGAGTAAATGCTGCTTGATGGTGCAACCAAAGAGCTAGGGATAGCCGTCACCTTCCTAACTGTCCCCCTGCTCCCATCCCAGTCAACATTCACAGACCTGGCATCACTTATCAAGGCAGCTTATGCCCAGGACTAAGAGGCAGAAGACCTGGGTTCTAGTCCAAGCTTAGCCCTGGACCCTGTTCTTTTGATAAGTCTCTGCCTCAGTCTGAGCAGGCAGGGCTGTCATGTGTAATTATTGAGGTTGTGTACTGCACAAGAGCACCCTATTTAAGGAAACGCTATTCACATAGTAGACATTGTAGATTTCTATGTCTATTATGACAATTTGCTGACTCATGGAAATAGTGTCTTGAAGAATGGATGCCTTTTTCTAATTTGGCACATGGGCTAGGGTGGCCCTGTAGGCCTCAGTTTCTCCAAATTAAACATGATGTCTTGAGTCCCCCAAACAGCACAGCTTTTCTAAGATTCTGCAGTTTAAGCCCCTATGATCTTAAGATACCAAGGGTTTAAAGTTCTAAGATTCCAAGATTCCAACATTTTGGTTAAGTTCCTGACTACTAGCTCAAAGGTTGGTGGTTTGAACACACCCAGAGGAGCCCCAGAAGACAGGCCTGGCAATCTGCTTCCAAAAGGTCACAGCCTTGAAAACCCTATGGAGCAGTTCTACTCTGCACACATGGGGTCACCGTGAGTGGGGATCAGCTCAACAGCAACTAACAGCAGTAACATCCTTACCCCAAGTGATCTCTGATTCGATGGTCCTGAGATTTGTGTCTTCTCAGATTCCTGTTGGAACAGAAGTCCTGTGAATCTAGCCTTCTAATTTTTTGATGCGTGGCTTCTAAAATCCCCACATTCTTTTTATCCCGAACTTCTTATTCTGAAAAAAATTCACACCTACAGAAGGGCTGCAAGGACAGTTTGATGAACTCTCCTATACACTTCTCCCAGATTCACCAATTTGTTCACATCTTATCCTTTTTGCTTTCTCTCTCTTGAATATAGAATAATATTAATAATTGTGGAAATGTATGAGAGTGAGCTGCAAACATCAGGATGCTTCACCCCTAAATACTTGACCATCATCCCCTAAGAATAACGACATTCTCCTACATAATCACAATATGATGATCACACTCAGGAAATTTAACATGGAATCAATATTGTTAACCAATCTTCAGTCTATGTTCACATGTCCCAGTAATGTCCTTTATGGCTGCTTCTTCCTTCCCTCTCTCTCTCTCTCTCTCCCTCCCTCTTTCCCTTCTCATCCAATCCAGAACCACTTATTGCATTTGATTGTCAGGTCTCTTTAATCTCCTTCAGTCTGGATCAGTTCCTCAACCTTTCCATGACTTTTGGGACCCTGACCCTTTCAAGATGACAGGCCAGTGACTTTGTAGAATGATCCTCAATTTGGGTTTGTCTTGTTTCTCATGATTAGATTCAGGTGGTCCACTTTGAGCAGGAATCCCATGAAGTGGTGCTGTGTCCTCCTCATTGCATCACATCAGGAGGCACGCGATGCCCATGTGTCCCATTACTGGTGGTGTCCACTTTGGTAAAGATGGTCCTATGGGGCAGTGATTGTTCAGTGGTAGAATTTTCACCTTCCATGTGGGAGACCCAGATTTGGTTCCTGGCCAATGCACCTCCTGCACAGCCACCACCTGTCCGTCAGTGGAGGCTTGCATGTTTCTATGATGCTGAACAGGTTTCAGCTGAGCTTCCAGACTCAAATGGAGTAGGAAGAAAGGCCTGGCAATATACTTCCAAAAATCAGCCAGTGAAAACCCTATGGATCACAAGGGTCTGATCCCGTTGTGTACGGGGTCTCCATGAGTCGAGGGCTGATTCAAGGGCAGCTAACAACAACAATAATAGTAACAATAGTGAACATTTACCAATCACAAGGCACATTTCAGAAACAGCACTGAGCCCCTGACGTGCATGGTGGGAAGGACTAGGAGGAGATGACAGATTTTCCAGATTCATTAACACCCCAGAGTCATTTGCTGCCCTCAGCCCTGCCAGGAGGAGCTCAGTCATCCTCTGTCCCCTCTCAAAGCTTCACCCTGACCAATCTAATGCTACTGCCTCACTCCCCACCTCCATCAAGAGGACCTGCTTCAGAGCCTTACACAACTGTCCCTCTTTTAAACCCGTATCAGGTTATGTCCCTCATCTGCTCAGAAACCCCGCCCCCCTTTGGAGTAAACACCCAAGTGCTCACCAAGGGCAACCAAGGCCCTAGAAGAGCTGCCCGTTGCCTCTCTGACATCTCCCATCTTCTCCTCTCGCTCCCTCCGCTCCAGCTACACTGGTCTCCATCTCTGTTTCTCGAACACTCCAGGCCTCAGGACCTTTGCACTGGCTGTTCCCTCTACCAGGAACACTGTTCCCCCAGATCTCCACACAGCCCTCTCCCCTCACTCTCTACTCTCTCTCCTGTTTTTCTCCATAGCACCTGACGTTATACTGTATAATTATTATCTAACCCCTGCACTTCGATGGAAGCCCCACCAAGACAGGGACTTTTGTCTGATCTGGTTTTGGGCCATTTCCTCAGCACTTTAGGATAGTGCCTGGCACACAATCGGAGCACCATCCTTATCTGTTGGATGAATAAACTGTAATTAAATCATTCAATATGTAATTGTTACTGTGATATGGCTCTCCCATGGTGGGGCTGTGAGCCTTGTGAGGACAGGATCTGGTCACTGCTGTGTCCCCAGCTACCACTTAGCACAGGGCCAGACACTGAGCAGGCAGTTGGGGAGTGTTTGTTGAATGAATGATGGCAAGTTAAGGAGTGCAGAGTTTCTCTGGAGAGCACCTGGGAGCACAGAAAGGTTTTATTGGGGGAGTGACTAAGTCAGTTCTGTCCCCGGCTACTCAAAGTGTGGTCCACGGACCAGGAGAATCTGCATCCCATGTGAGACATGTAGTCCTGAGCTCTGGAAGCAAAATCTGCATTTTAAACAAGATCCCCAGGGGATTCGTGTGCACATGGAGGATATGTGGAATACTCTATCCTCTCTGGGACTTTCCATGTGCGGTTCCCTCTGCCTGGAGCCTCCTTCTGCATTAAGTCCCCTCTTCTGGCAGCCTGCTGTGATCTCACCCTCATCATCTGTTTCATGCCTGCCCTCCTAATACCCATGAGTTCATGGGGGGAGGGACCAACTCTGTCTCGTTAACCCTTCTGCATCCCCTCCTCCAGGAGGGCCACCTTGATTCACCCTCAGTATTACTTGTTTAATGCCTGTTCACCCTCACACTTGTGAGCTCTCCTGCGGCACCCCCTCCTCCGGGAAGCCTGCCCAGGCTACCCCCATCCCGCGCTTGCACACACGCGCGCGCGCGCGCGCGCACACACACACACACACACACACACACACACACACACACACAGCCGCTGCCCGACCGTCACCCTGTTCTCCCCTCCCTCCCCACTGCAGCGAGGGCACGCTGGTGTTTAAGCCAGGCGAGACCCTGAAGGAGCTGCGCATCGGCATCATCGACGACGACATCTTTGAGGAGGACGAGCACTTCTTCGTGCGGCTGCTGAACCTGCGCGTGGGAGACGCGCAAGGCATGTTCGAGCCCGACGGCGGCGGACGGCCCAAGGGGCGGCTGGTGGCGCCGCAGCTGGCCACCGTCACCATCCTGGACGACGACCACGCGGGCATCTTCTCCTTCCAGGACCGCCTGCTGCACGTGAGCGAGTGCATGGGCACCGTGGACGTGCGCGTGGTGCGCAGCTCGGGCGCGCGCGGCACCGTGCGCCTGCCCTACCGCACGGTGGACGGCACGGCACGAGGCGGCGGCGTCCACTACGAGGATGCGTGCGGCGAGCTCGAGTTCGGCGACGACGAGACCATGTGAGCGCGCGGGCTGGGAGACGGGGCGAGGCTGCGGAAAGATGGGATGGGGCCAGGAGACGGGGCGGGGCCGGGGAAATGGGGCGGGGCCAGGGGACGGGGCGGGGCTGTGGACTGGGCAGGGCCCGGGAGATGGGTCAGGGTTGGAGAGATGGGGCAGGGCTGGGGGGATGGGGCGGAGCCCTGGTGGGGCAGTGCAGTGAGATCGATGGAGCTAGGAGTGGGGTCGGGGAGGGGGCAGGGTTGTAGACGGAGGCGAGGGCCAGAGAGGTTCTGAGGCAAGAGTGAGAGAGCCAGAGCAGGACGGTGCCCTGAAATGGGTGGGGCTGGGGAGGCAGGGCAGGTTCAGCAGAGGAGTGGGACAAGGGAGAGGAGAGAGGAGGCGGGGCAAGGGAGGAGCTACGGAGATAGGGCAGGGCCAAGTAGAAGTAGGGGCAGGGGGACAGGGCTGGGTAAAGGTGGGGCCTGGGGAGGGGGCGGGGCCCGGGTGAGGGGGCGGGGCTCGGGAGAGGGAGGCCACTTTTGAGGAGAGAATGGTGGGGTCTGCTGAGGAAGGAGGCTGGAGAGCGGAGGGAGGGCGAGGTGAGGAGTGATAGGATGGGAGAAGGAATAGGAGCCTGAGGAAGGGGAGTTCTCGGGGGCTTGATTGGTAGCTGGTGGAGATAAGAGTGTGGCCTGAGAAGGGGGCGGCCTCATGGAGATTAGGGGTGGGTCCTGTTAAGATGGAACAGTGTGGACATGGGGTTGTGGAGAAGGGGCAGGACTTGGGGAACTAAGGAAGCCTAGGAAGAAGGCGGGGCTAAGGAAATGGGGCGGGACTTGGGGTGGAAATGGAGTAAGGGGTGGGGCTTGTGGTTTTGGGGAAGATCCTGGGGGAATAGCGAGACCTGGTGGCGCAGTGGTTAAGAGCTTGGCTGCTAACCAAAAAGTTAGTAGTTCAAACCCACCAGCCCCTCCGGGGGAGAAAGATGTGGCAATCTACTGTAAAGATTACAACCTTGGAAACCTTATGGGGCAGTTCTACTCTGTCCTTTAGGGTCACTATGAGTCGGAATCAGCTCGATGGCAGTGGGTGGTGGTGGGTAAGAGGCGTGTGGGTAAGGCTTTGGGAAAAGATGAAGTAGGAATAAGGGGGCCTAGGAAGGTGGGGGCAGGACCTAGGAGACAGTTGGGGGACTGGAGGGCTGGGATTTGGGGAGGCGGAACAGGGTCTGGGGAGATAGGGTGGACTCACAGATACACACGTGTAGACACACAGACTACACAGATTAACACAAAGCCACATAAACACAGACACACAGGAACGTACAGACAGACACACATAAAGTCACAGACACACACAGTAAAACAGAATCATGGCTATTCTTCCGCCCAGACACCAGCCACCCCCTTACCCAGATGTCCGCAGCCTCACCTCCCCCGCCC